AATAACTTGAAGAAGAAAATCTCCAGATCTCCAGATCAGGTGCGGTGTCTCATACCTGTTATCCCTGAAGTTACGGAGGTTGAGGTGGGGGGATCGCTTGAGCCCAGGAACTTGAGACTAGCCCTGGCAACATAGTGAGATCCCGTCTCTACAAGAAAATTAGCCGGGCGTGGTGGCATGTGCCTGTAGTCCCAGCTACTCAGGAGGCTGAGGTGGGAAGATCATTTGAGCCTGGGAGGTCGAGTCTACAGTAAGCCATGGTTGGACCACTGCACTCCAGCCTGGGCTACAGAGCAAGACCCTATCTCCAAAAGAAAAAAAAAAAAAAGAGAGAGAGAGAAAGAAGATCTCCAGATGATGCTGGTGTATTCTTAACATCTCTCTAACATCTGCTAATCTCCCTTTTTGACAAAGAGACAGCAGGACTCAAGCTCAGAGCCTTCCACAGAAAACACTCTCGGCCCTCAGAGCCCAGTGTTGCCGCCATGTCCTCCAGCGCTAGCGCGAGCGCCCTGCAGCGCCTGGTGGAGCAGCTCAAGTTGGAGGCTGGCATGGAGAGGATCAAGGTCCCTCAGGCAGCTGCAGAGCTTCAACAATACTGTATGCAGAATGCCTGCAAGGATGCCCTGCTGGTGGGTGTTCCAGCCAGAAGTAACCCCTTCCGGGAGCCCAGATCCTGTGCTTTACTCTGAAGACTCTAGGAGAGAAGTTCACTGAGGAATGCCTTCGAGCACAAAGTGACGAATGACTGCCTTCAAGTCTCAAGAAAACACTTTTCCCTAGCTCTAATTAGAGATATTTTAGCCCTTTCCTGTGGCCTGGTCCTATAGCGAATATCACAGAAATTCATGAGTTTCTACTTGAGTGAGGAAACTGGGTGAAGGAATAGAGTTTTAAATAGTAATAGCCTGTTTTTGTGTGCAAGTACTTTTATACATAAGACAAAGAAAAACCTTACCACCAAATATACCAAAATGCACCTGTTTCATAAGTGAGTTACTAATATTTCTATACCTGGACTATCATGTATGTTTTATTTACTGGATGTTTACATTTTAAGAAGGAAAATAGTTGTGTTTATTTAAACAAATGAATACTTGTAAACTGTTGTTCCTGGAAGATATTTAACACATAAAAAATGTGTTCTTTTCGGC